TGTGTGTGTGTGTGTGTGTGTGTGTGTGTGTGTGTGTGTGTGAAGACATCGGTAGAGGCGCGCGAGAAGAAACACAACCGAACACGCGGGCTCGCAAGCAGACACACACACACTTGCACACAGACACATTCCCACTCACACACACACACACACATACACACACACACACACATTCACACTCACACACATGTGAACGCAGCTCAACAGCCGTGTTCCAAGACCTGAGCATGTGGTGGAAGGTGGCGTGGATGTTTCGCTCGATGCGCTGGTGTTTGAGGGCAACACGTGTCTTGCGCAAGAGGAATTGCTGTCGGCGAACGTGTGCATCCACGCTGCCAACCTGCACAGCAGTCGGCTGCAACGCTTGTGCCTCCCGCAGCAGCGCATGGAGCTTTTCCCTGGTGCAAGGGGGTAAAGTGTTTGCATGCGTTGGATGAGTGCGTGTTGTGTGCAGCACGTGTGGTGGTGCGGTGCTTTGTTGTTGATGCTGTTGCAGTTTGCGTGCTGAGGATGTCGCGCTTGTCGCCATCAACGCATTCATACACTCACATACACACGAATGTGTATCTTCAACAGACCTGAGTTCCTGGTTTGTCCGCGTTTGCTGCTCGATAAAGGCGTGGCGCTCCGCACTGCGAAGACACGCACACACACACACGCACACACACACACACATTCACATTCACATTCACACACACACATTCACACCCATTCACACACACACGCACACACAGACACACATTCACACACACATTCACATTCACACATTCACATTCACACACACACACACACACACACATCCTGTGAGTGCATGCCCACAATTGGCAGAAGGTTGCGCCGCCTTCACCCCGCTTCAACCCCCTTCCGCTTTGCCTTCAGCCCTCCTTCCTCTGTGCCTGCAAAACAGAAATCACGGCTGATGGGCACGCACCATCCCCCCCCCCCAACCCCTCCCTTGTATTGCATCACGTACGTGAGGCGGTAGACGTCGTCGAGGTTTCGGTGCTGTGGATCGTGGAGACGGCTGGCGAGGGCCTGTTCGCGCGCCTTGGCCCTGGCAGCGCGGACGCGTGCCTGCACCAGCTGCTGGGCACAGAGCCAATCGCATGCCTGCAAGCGGCGCAGGTCTGCTCGCAGCGACTCGTACGCCTGCTCCTCAATCGACGGCTGTGTGGCCGAGGTGGTTTCACGTGCTGTGCTCTCGCGCCCAGGGGTGTGAGGGTCGTCGGTGATCGGCTGGCCAATGCCACTGCTGCTGCTGCTGCTGCCACCGACAGCGCTGTTTTTGCCATTGGCAGGTTTGCTGGGGTCGCCGTGGGCAGCCCGTTGGAGGAGGCGCGCCTTTGAGAGCGGTGCTTGGACCTGGTGCTCGACGAACGTGTCGATGGCGGAGCGCAGGTTCTCCTGGGCCGTGCGCTGGCTGGCGATGCGCTCGGCGTCCCTGGACATGAAGCACGGCTCCATGGTCTCTGAAGAGAAGCCCGTGGTGAACAAGCGCACGAGGCGGGAGGCCTCGTTGACCACGCGCTGTGTGTTTCCTTTTTCCTGATCCCTGAGCTCCATGGCCATGACGCGCTGCATCTTGTCTGTGAGCGACCGCTGTTCCTCTTCTTCCTGCGATAGCCTGTACACTTGTTCCTGTGCCTTGCGCAGTTGCTCCTGCAGCAGCGCCCGCTGTCGTCGCAGCGCGCTCACCCTTTGCTGTCCCTCGCTCATCTGTGTGTGTGTGTGTGTGTGTGCAGTGTGTGTGTAGCGTGTGTGTGCAGTGTGTGTGTGTGTGTGTGGTGTGTGTGTGTGTGTGTGTGTGTGTGTGTGTATGTGTGTGTGTGTGTGTGTGTGTGTGTGTGTGTGTGTGTGTGTGTGTGTGTGTGTGTGTGTGTGTGTGTGTGTGTGTGTGTGTGTGTGTGTGTGTGTGTGTGTGTGCAGTGCTTGCCTACCTCTCCTTCTGCTGCTGTAGTTTTGCCAATGACAACGGCAGTTGTTGGGTAAACATGTATTTCCCAACTGCTGACATCAGCATCAATTTATTGCTGACATGCGCAATTTATTTGCTGACATCAGCGGTTTCTCTGCCTTGTGTTTTTTTCCCTTCACCACCAAACAACCAACAACAACAACAACAACAACAGGGACAACGACGTTCATTATCCACGCGATCAGGCTTTCTCTCAAACCCCTGCCACACACAGGTTGACGGCCTGCCCACCGTGGGTAAACCATGTCTCTGCTCGCGCGTTTGCGGGAGCTGGACATGTTTGACTTCCTCGTCCACTTCGTCAAGAGCTGGCGAAACATAGACTTCCTCGATGTACGCTGACATTCTTCGCAAGGGCCGGCTGAAGCGGCCACCCGGTTGAGATGCTGATTCCTACCTCGCCATGCCTCGCCGCCCCACTAAGGTGGCTTGGCTTTCCTGGCTTGGTCTGGTTTCTGTGTGCGCGTGAGTTCTTTCATTAGACTCGCCCTCACAGGTCAGCGTTTCCTCTGGCATGGCTTGTCTTTGCTGGCATCTTTCCCCCCCCCCCCTTTTTGTGCCCGTTTCTCCTGCACACTGCTCCACTGCCTCCTCCTCCTCCTTGTCACGTTGTGATGAGAAAGCGAGGGGGGTTTTTTTTTGGACGGTGTGCTTTGTGGGTAAACGGCAGCTGCCCTGCCCCACATGCTTTTGCATGGTTTTGGTTATGCTTGGTGCGGCCAGCCCATGTCACCACCGCCATCCCGTTTTTCTTTTTTTCTCACGCGGGCTCAGGTGGGGGCTGGTAGTGGTTTGGATTGTCGTGTGGGTGTGCTGTGTGGGACGCAGCAGGTGTTTCTCTGGAGTTTTGAGGTGATTGCGGGCCAGCCGGCACCGATCAACGGGTTTTCCCTTTTCTTTCTTGCGTTTCTGTGGGCTGTGTGTGGTAGCCCACAAAACCAAGGCCCGGTCGGTTTGCGCTCACAGTCACCTCGCAGCCTTGTGATTTCCCTATTTCCCGCGGTTGCTCCATTGCCCTCGTTTCTGCTCCTCGCAGTATCCCAAAGCACCCACGCTGTTCTTCTTCCTGAGAGAGCAAGCGGCAGCCAGACTCACGCTCGTGCCAAGCTTGGCAGGGCCACGGTGTTTGTCAACACCAAACCCCCCCAACCCAAACAAAAAGAAACGTACCGAGAGTGGTTGTTGTTGGTTGTTGTTGTTTAAGTTGTTGTTGTTTAAGTTGTTGTTGTTGTTGTTGTTGTTGTTGTTGCGTTTAGTGTAGCACACACACACATAGCAAAACGCTGGTGCGTTGTGTCAAGTGCTGTGTGTTTGACTGTGTTTGTTTCGTTTACTGTGCCATGTGGTATGTGATAGTGCTGCGGCTTCACATTCACGTTCACTCCGCCTGCATGAGGGCCCTGTATGCCTTGAAATCGGCATACATGTGCTTGTACACGGCAAACTTGCGGTCAAAGAAAGACTGCACACTTGCTTGTGGCGCCACCACGCCTGCGCTTGCATTCATCGCAGCCTGCACAAGTGATATGTGTGTGTGTGTGTAAGAAAAGTGGGTGCAGAACAACAAAGAGGAAGACAGAGGAAGCATCGAGTTTGAAAGCCGCAGCAAACACAAACAAAGCCGAAGCACGGCGCACCATGGCAGCGGGGAGAGATGCGTGGCAGCCAGCCGCGGTCGCGGCCAACACAGCAGTGCCCGTCAGCACCTGGATCGTGAGTTGGTGGATGAGTGAGTGAGTGCTTGTGAGTGTGGGTGTGATGGTCAATGAGGAAAAGCAGCCAAGAAGGAAGAACGGCTGTCACATCATGAGCAAACATAAGCACCCATCAACCCACGCATTCAGTCACGACACTCACGGCGTCGTCCTTTGGAAGAAAGACGGGCAGCTGCATCGCATCAGCGTGCGCCTGCTCATGCTCATCACGTGAGGGGAGACACAGCAACACGGAAACAGCAACAGAGCGAACAGCAAAACAACAAACGCGAGAGCACGCGAGAGCACTACAATCACACACACACACACACACACACACACACACACACACACACACACACACACACACACACACACATGAGAAAGAGATCTTACGTGTTGTTGCAGAGACCACCGCAAGCGTGGATGGAGCGGAGTCGGTGCCCCGCCTGCTCCATGGCCTCCGCAATGTGCCGCGTCTCCAATGCCAGTGCTACCAGCGTGCACACATACAGTTCCACCAAATCGTCGCACGGGTCCGCGCTAGCAAGATGCAGCCCGCTCACCACACCCTGCACGCAGGCGTGCCGTGAGGGGAGGGTGTGTGTGTGTGTGTTCAGTTGGGGACGTGAAGCATGAAGTGTGAAGCATGAAGTGTGAAGGGAGATGAGCAAGGCCAGCTGCAATGACAGTGTGGAACATGCAACCAACACACACACACACACACACACACACACACACACACACACACACACACACACACACACACACACACACACACACACACACACACACACACACACACACACACACACACACACACACACACACACACACACACACAAACCCGAAGGGATGCATCTGCGAGGGGAGCGCGATTGCCGTGGAAGAACGGGAGCATGTGCAGCTCACGACTCAGATGCCACACAGACGAAAGCCCACGGTCTACACCAAGTGACGGACACAGAAGGAATAAATGCGTCGAAGAAGTAATAACCAACACGTGTGAGCAACAATGAGCACTCAAAGCACAATCAGAGACAGAGACAGAGACAGAGACAGAGACAGAGACAGAGAGGAAGGCTCACGGCATGCACACACACATTTGCACACATATATGAGCACATACACACACACACACCTTGCGCCAACTGAAGTGCACGTCGGTTGAGCCAGGCGTAGATGGAACCCACAGCACCATCACCACCATCACCACCATCACCACCATCACTACCAGGCGTAGATGGAACCCACAGCACCATCACCAGCACCATCACCAGCACCACCATCGCCACCACCATCACCATCGCCACCATTACCACCAGCAGCAGCACGGCGCTTCACTTCGGCGTGGGCGGCGTGAGACATGATGACGTGGTCAACCAACGCACCGCTCGCACTCTGCCCGCCCTCATTCAGCCACCACCCACCCAGCACCACGCTGCCGTACGGGCCCCACACCCCAGATACGTGCAGCGGTTTGCGGCTCAGCGCCATGTGGCACGACGACGTCCCCATTATCAACGCTAACCGCTCATCCAACCGAAGGTCCTCACCACGCTGCGCCTTTCCCTCCTGTTGCTGCTGTTGCTGCTGCCCACCCACGCGTTCACTCACACTCCCATCGTCGCCACCTGCAACACCACCACCAACACCAAGAACACCCAGCACCCCCGCGTGCGCATCGATGCTCCCTGCAGCAACCGGTGTACCGGGCAGCAGGCCCAGCTCGAGTGCCGCCGCCTCTGTCAGGCCGGCGCCGACACGCGAGCCCGGCGGGTTGGCCCGCGTCCCGATGCGCTCGTATGCGGTCGTACCGGTGTCGCTGTCACCAATCAAGTCACCAAGGCCAACCAGCCGCAGAAAGTCTGGCTGCCAGCCGCGCACACGCCCTTGGATGTCCTCCGGCTCGCCTTCCAGATACGTGCACTTGCACACCAGCGAGCACAGGCTGCGCTCCGCGGACTGCGTGGCCCGAAACGTCAGATAGTCTGGCAGATCAAAGAAGTGGCCAGCCTTGGCGTAACACGTGTCGTACGCATGCCGCTTCAGCCACAGGATCTTTGGTATCTGCATCTCAGGCGATATGCTGCCGCCAACGTAGTCGAGCACGGCGTGCTGCGTTTCGTTGATCTCCTTTGCCTCCGCCGACGCGCGGTGGTCCATCCACAGCACCACGTTCCACCCCTCCAAGCTGCCCCCGCTTGCATCCACAGCAACATCTGTCGATGTCGTGCGTTTCTCCCGTTTGTGCGGGAGATCACCTGTCGTTTCAGCCCGCCCTGTCACCCTTGTCGTTGCTGCTGCCGCTGTGGCGGTACCGCCTTGTTCCTGGTCATGCACGCTGCTGAGGTTGGACGGCAGAACGGACACCGGAGATCCGCCCTTGTCCACGACAGCCAGCGAGCACGTGGCGTCAAAGGCAACACCCACCACCTCCTGTGACCTCACCCCTAGCACGGTGTGCATAAGCGACAAGGGAGGCGGGGGAAGTGACAAGGGAGGTGGAGGAGTCGCAATGATGTTGAGAAGAAAAGAGGCAGGTGGTGTGAGAGGGAACAAGTGGGCGGACAGATTAGCAAGGAAACCAAAACCAGCCGTGTGGACACGAAGGCACTCATGAGATCAGTCAAACACGATAATCAGGCGCAAATACACATACACACATACACATACAGACAAACACACATACACATACACACACACACACAAACACAAACACACATACACATATACACACGTACACATATACACACATACACACATACACACATTCACACATACACACATACACACCCCTACTCGAAGCCTGCATGGCTCGCTTGGTGGCCTGACAAATGCAGTGCCAGATGTTGTCGGTGGACTGCACCAAGTGTTTCTCTCCCGCATACTCGTATGTGTGCGTGTGTGTGTTCTCCACAGCGCGTGCCAAGATGCAACCATCCGTCCCCCTCACCACCGCACACCGCACGCTCCCCGTACCCACATCCACCGCAACCACAGACATCTCGCCTGAGACAACCACAAGCTTCAGAAGAGCAAGCAAGCAAGCTGAGCAAGTGGATGAGCGGTTCAGCAGTGAGCAGTTGCCGCCAAACACAAACAAAGTTGGGAAGAATGGGCATGACATTATATAATTTTCTGCGATCCAACAACGACGATGCAAACCACTCGCCGCATCATGAGTCGTGCACTGTACCTCGGCCTGGTATGTGTGTGTGTGTGTGTGTGTGTGTGTGTGTGTGTGTGTGTGTGTGTGTGTGTGTGTGTGTGTGTGGTGGTGGGGTGGGGGT